TGCCAGGTGTATGTGTTTGTGTTGGCAGGTATGTGAGTGTGTGCTGCCAGGTGAATGTGTTTTTGTTGGCAGGTATAACAGTGTGTGCTGCCAGGTGCATGTGTTTGTGTTGGCAGGTATGTGATTGTGTGCTGCCAGGTGTATGTGTTTGTGTTGGCAGGTATGTGAGTGTGTGCTGCCAGATGTATGTGTTTGTGTTGGCAGGTATGTGAGTGTGTGCTGCCAGGTGTATGTGTTTGTGTTGGCAGGTATGTGAGTGTGTGCTGCCAGGTGTATGTGTTTGTGTTGGAAAGTATGTGAGTGAGTGCTGCCAGGTGTATGTGTTTGTGTTGGCAGGTATGAGAGTGTGTGCTGCCAGGTGTATGTGTTTGTGTTGGCAGGTATGTGAGTGTGTGCTGCCAGGTGTCTGTGTTTGTGTTGGCAGGTATGTGAGTGTGTGCTGCCAGGTGAAAGTGTTTGTGTTGGCAGGTATGAGAGTGTGTGCTGCCAGGTGCATGTGTTTGTGTTGGCAGGTATGTGAGTGTGTGCTGCCATGTGTATGTGGTTGTGTTGGCAGGTATGTGAGTGTGTGCTGCCAGGTGTATGTGTCTGTGTTGGCAGGTATGAGAGTGTGTGCTGCTAGGTGTACGTGTTTGCGTTGGCAGGTATGTGAGTGTGTGCTGCCAGGTGTATGTGTTTGTGTTGGAAAGTATGTGAGTGTGTGCTGCCAGGTGTATGTGGTTGCGTTGGCAGGTACGTGAGTGTGTGCTGCCAGGTGTATGTGTCTGTGTTGGCAGGTATGAGAGTGTGTGCTGCCAGGTGTATGTGTTTGTGTTGGCAGGTATGTGAGTGTGTGCTGCCAGGTGTATGTGTTTGTTTTGGAAAGTATGTGAGTGTGTGCTGCCAGGTGTATGTGTTTGTGTTGGCAGGTATGTGAGTGTGTGCTGCCAGATGTATGTGTTTGTGTTGGCAGGTATGAGAGAGTGTGCTGCCAGGTGCATGTGTTTGTGTTGGCATGTATGTGAGTGTGTGCTGCCAGGTGTATGTGTTTGTGTTGGCAGGTATGTGAGTGTGTGCTGCCAGGTGTATGTGTTTGTGTTGGCAGGTATGAGAGTGTGTGATGCCAGGTGTATGTGTTTGTGTTGGCAGGTATGTGAGTGTGTGCTGCCAGATGTATGTGTTTGTGTTGCCAGGTATGAGAGTGTGTGCTGCCAGGTGTATGTGTTTGTGTTGGCAGGTATGAGAGAGTGTGCTGCCAGGTGTATGTGTTTGTGTTGGCATGTATGTGAGTGTGTGCTGCCAGGTGTATGTGTTTGTGTTGGCAGGTATGTGAGTGTGTGCTGCCAGGTGTATGTGTTTGTTTTGGCAGGTATGTGAGTGTGTGCTGCCAGATGTATGTGTTTGTGTTGGCAGGTATGTGAGTGTGTGCTGCCAGGTGTGTGTGTTTGTGTTGGCAGGTATGTGAGTGTGTGCTGCCAGGTGCATGTGTTTGTGTTGGAAGGTATGAGAGTGTGTGCTGCCAGGTGTATGTGTTTGTGTTGGCAGGTATGTGAGTGTGTACTGCCAGGTGTATGTGTTTGTGTTGGCAGGTATGTGAGTGTGTGCTGCCAGGTGTATGTGTTTGTGTTGGCAGGTATGTGAGTGTGTGCTGCCGGGTGAATGTGTTTGTGTTGGCAGGTATGTGAGTGTGTGCTGCCAGGTGTATGTGTTTGTGTTGGCAGGTATGTGAGTGTGTGCTGCCAGGTGTATGTGTTTGTGTTGGCAGGTATGTGAGTGTGTGCTGCCAGGTGTATGTGTTTGTGTTGGCAGGTATGAGAGTGTGTGCTGCCAGGTGTATGTGTTTGTGTTGGCAGGTATGAGAGTGTGAGCTGCCAGGTGTATGTGTTTGTGTTGGCAGGTATGTGAGTGTGTGCTGCCAGGTGTATGTGTTTGTGTTGGCAGGTATGTGAGTGTGTGCTGCCAGGTGAATGTGTTTGTGTTGGCAGGTATAACAGTGTGTGCTGCCAGGTGCATGTGTTTGTGTTGGCAGGTATGTGAGTGTGTGCTGCCAGGTGTATGTGTTTGTGTTGGCAGGTATGTGAGTGTGTGCTCCCAGATGTATGTGTTTGTGTTGGCAGGTATGAGAGTGTGTGCTGCCAGGTGTATGTGTTTGTGTTGGCAGGTATGTGAGTGTGTGCTGCCAGGTGTATGTGTTTGTGTTGGCAGGTATGTGAGTGTGTGCTGCCGGGTGAATGTGTTTGTGTTGGCAGGTATGTGAGTGTGTGCTGCCAGGTGTATGTGTTTGTGTTGGCAGGTATGTGAGTGTGTGCTGCCAGGTGCATGTGTTTGTGTTGGAAGGTATGAGAGTGTGTGCTGCCAGGTGTATGTGTTTGTGTTGGCAGGTATGTGAGTGTGTGCTGCCAGGTGTATGTGTTTGTGTTGGCAGGTATGTGAGTGTGTGCTGCCAGGTGTATGTGTTTGTGTTGGCAGGTATGTGAGTGTGTGCTGCCGGGTGAATGTGTTTGTGTTGGCAGGTATGTGAGTGTGTGCTGGCAGGTGTATGTGTTTGTGTTGGCAGGTATGTGAGTGTGTGCTGCCAGGTGTATGTGTTTGTGTTGGCAGGTATGAGAGTGTGTGCTGCCAGGTGTATGTGTTTGTGTTGGCAGGTATGTGAGTGTGTGCTGCCAGGTGTATGTGTTTGTGTTGGCAGGTATGTGAGTGTGTGCTGCCAGGTGTATGTGTTTGTGTTGGCAGGTATGAGAGTGTGTGCTGCCAGGTGTATGTGTTTGTGTTGGCAGGTATGTGAGTGTGTGCTGCCAGGTGTATGTGTTTGTGTTGGCAGGTATGTGAGTGTGTGCTGCCAGGTGTATGTGTTTGTGTTGGCAGGTATGAGAGTGTGTGCTGCCAGGTGTATGTGTTTGTGTTGGCAGGTATGTGAGTGTGTGCTGCCAGGTGTATGTGTTTGTGTTGGCAGGTATGAGAGTGTGAGCTGCCAGGTGTATGTGTTTGTGTTGGCAGGTATGTGAGTGTGTGCTGCCAGGTGTATGTGTTTGTGTTGGCAGGTATGTGAGTGTGTGCTTCCAGGTGAATGTGTTTTTGTTGGCAGGTATAACAGTGTGTACTGCCAGGTGCATGTGTTTGTGTTGGCAGGTATGTGAGTGTGTGCTGCCAGGTGTATGTGTTTGTGTTGGCAGGTATGTGAGTGTGTGCTGCCAGATGTATGTGTTTGTGTTGGCAGGTATGAGAGTGTGTGCTGCCAGGTGTATGTGTTTGTGTTGGCAGGTATGTGAGTGTGTGCTGCCAGGTGTATGTGTTTGTGTTGGCAGGTATGTGAGTGTGTGCTGCCGGGTGAATGTGTTTGTGTTGGCAGGTATGTGAGTGTGTGCTGCCAGGTGTATGTGTTTGTGTTGGCAGGTATGTGAGTGTGTGCTGCCAGGTGTATGTGTTTGTGTTGGCAGGTATGTGAGTGTGTGCTGCCAGGTGTATGTGTTTGTGTTGGCAGGTATGTGAGTGTGTGCTGCCGGGTGAATGTGTTTGTGTTGGCAGGTATGTGAGTGTGTGCTGCCAGGTGTATGTGTTTGTGTTGGCAGGTATGTGAGTGTGTGCTGCCAGGTGTATGTGTTTGTGTTGGCAGGTATGAGAGTGTGTGCTGCCAGGTGTATGTGTTTGTGTTGGCAGGTATGTGAGTGTGTGCTGCCAGGTGTATGTGTTTGTGTTGGCAGGTATGTGAGTGTGTGCTGCCAGGTGTATGTGTTTGTGTTGGCAGGTATGAGAGTGTGTGCTGCCAGGTGTATGTGTTTGTGTTGGCAGGTATGTGAGTGTGTGCTGCCAGGTGAATGTGTTTGTGTTGGCAGGTATGAGAGTGTGTGCTGCCAGGTGTATGTGTTTGTGTTGGCAGGTATGAGAGTGTGAGCTGCCAGGTGTATGTGTTTGTGTTGGCAGGTATGTGAGTGTGTGCTGCCAGGTGTATGTGTTTGTGTTGGCATGTATGTGAGTGTGTGCTGCCAGGTGTATGTATTTGTGTTGGCAGGTATGTGAGTGGGTGCTGCCAGGTGTATGTGTTTGTGTTGGCAGGTATGAGAGTGTGTGCTGCCAGGTGTATGTGTTTGTGTTGGCAGGTATGTGAGTGTGTGCTGCCAGATGTATGTGTTTGTGTTGGCAGGTATGTGAGTGTGTGCTGCCAGGTGTATGTGTTTGTGTTGGCAGGTATGTGAGTGTGTGCTGCCAGGTGTATGTGTTTGTGTTTGCAGGTATGTGAGTGTGTGCTGCCAGGTGTATGTGTTTGTGTTGGCAGGTATGTGAGTGTGTGCTGCCGGGTGAATGTGTTTGTGTTGGCAGGTATGTGAGTGTGTGCTGCCAGGTGTATGTGTTTGTGTTGGCATGTATGTGAGTGTGTGCTGCCAGGTGTATGTGTTTGTGTTGGCAGGTATGTGAGTGTGTGCTGCCAGGTGTATGTGTTTGTGTTGGAAAGTATGTGAGTGAGTGCTGCCAGGTGTATGTGTTTGTGTTGGCAGGTATGTGAGTGTGTGCTGCCAGGTGTATGTGTTTGTGTTGGCAGGTATGAGAGTGTGTGCTGCCAGGTGTATGTGTTTGTGTTGGCAGGTATGTGAGTGTGTGCTGCCAGGTGTATGTGTTTGTGTTGGCAGGTATGAGAGTGTGAGCTGCCAGGTGTATGTGTTTGTGTTGGCAGGTATGTGAGTGTGTGCTGCCAGGTGTATGTGTTTGTGTTGGCAGGTATGTGAGTGTGTGCTGCCAGGTGAATGTGTTTTTGTTGGCAGGTATAACAGTGTGTGCTGCCAGGTGCATGTGTTTGTGTTGGCAGGTATGTGAGTGTGTGCTGCCAGGTGTATGTGTTTGTGTTGGCAGGTATGTGAGTGTGTGCTGCCAGATGTATGTGTTTGTGTTGGCAGGTATGAGAGTGTGTGCTGCCAGGTGTATGTGTTTGTGTTGGCAGGTATGTGAGTGTGTGCTGCCAGGTGTATGTGTTTGTGTTGGCAGGTATGTGAGTGTGTGCTGCCGGGTGAATGTGTTTGTGTTGGCAGGTATGTGAGTGTGTGCTGCCAGGTGTATGTGTTTGTGTTGGCAGGTATGTGAGTGTGTGCTGCCAGGTGTATGTGTTTGTGTTGGCAGGTATGTGAGTGTGTGCTGCCAGGTGTATGTGTTTGTGTTGGCAGGTATGTGAGTGTGTGCTGCCGGGTGAATGTGTTTGTGTTGGCAGGTATGTGAGTGTGTGCTGCCAGGTGTATGTGTTTGTGTTGGCAGGTATGTGAGTGTGTGCTGCCAGGTGTATGTGTTTGTGTTGGCAGGTATGAGAGTGTGTGCTGCCAGGTGTATGTGTTTGTGTTGGCAGGTATGTGAGTGTGTGCTGCCAGGTGTATGTGTTTGTGTTGGCAGGTATGTGAGTGTGTGCTGCCAGGTGTATGTGTTTGTGTTGGCAGGTATGAGAGTGTGTGCTGCCAGGTGTATGTGTTTGTGTTGGCAGGTATGTGAGTGTGTGCTGCCAGGTGAATGTGTTTGTGTTGGCAGGTATGAGAGTGTGTGCTGCCAGGTGTATGTGTTTGTGTTGGCAGGTATGAGAGTGTGAGCTGCCAGGTGTATGTGTTTGTGTTGGCAGGTATGTGAGTGTGTGCTGCCAGGTGTATGTGTTTGTGTTGGCATGTATGTGAGTGTGTGCTGCCAGGTGTATGTATTTGTGTTGGCAGGTATGTGAGTGGGTGCTGCCAGGTGTATGTGTTTGTGTTGGCAGGTATGAGAGTGTGTGCTGCCAGGTGTATGTGTTTGTGTTGGCAGGTATGTGAGTGTGTGCTGCCAGATGTATGTGTTTGTGTTGGCAGGTATGTGAGTGTGTGCTGCCAGGTGTATGTGTTTGTGTTGGCAGGTATGTGAGTGTGTGCTGCCAGGTGTATGTGTTTGTGTTTGCAGGTATGTGAGTGTGTGCTGCCAGGTGTATGTGTTTGTGTTGGCAGGTATGAGAGTGTGTGCTGCCAGGTGTATGTGTTTGTGTTGGCAGGTATGTGAGTGTGTGCTGCCAGGTGTATGTGTTTGTGTTGGCAGGTATGTGAGTGTGTGCTGGCAGGTGTATGTGTTTGTGTTGGCAGGTATGTGAGTGTGTGCTGCCAGGTGTATGTGTTTGTGTTGGCAGGTATGTGAGTGTGTGCTGCCAGGTGTATGTGTTTGTGTTGGCAAGTATGTTTGTGAGTGCTGCCAGGTGTGTGTGTGTGTGCTGGCAGGTGTGTGTGTGTGTGTGTTGGCAGGTGTGTGTGTGTGTTGGTAGCAGATGGTGGCGGTGCCAGCTAGCCTGGATGGTTAAGTGCCCCCCTCCCCCCCCTTCCCTTCCCTTCCCCTCTCTCCTTCCCCATCCGCCCATCACTGAATCGTAATGTTTTCCCCTCACCTCCCCTCCACGCTCCGATGTTTCTCAGAGACGCCATGGGATCGGTCCTGCTGTGGCACGGTCCTGTGAGTCTTGCCTTGCCATCGCCTAACCACCCTTTCCTTGACCCATGCCGCCTCGTGTGCCGCACATCACCACATCATTCTGTTCCACCTTGCCAACCCTCTGTGTCCGTCTGTTTCTCAGAGGAGCCTTGGAATTGGCTGACACTCAGCTTCCAACGCGTGAATCCGCGTTTTCTTTCCGTTCATTAAACAAGCCTTCCCATTCCCCTCCCTCAGCCCTTTCCTAAACCTTTTTCCATTTATTGAACTAACGTTCCAATCCCCACCCTCCTCCATTCCACCCCCCCCTCTTTCACCTTCCCCAGCCCTGGCCCACAAAAGCGAGCTACAGTTGCCGCTATTGAAGCTTCCCACTCCCTTCCCTTCCCACTACCCTCCCCCTCCCCCCCTCTCCCCTCTGACCATACTCTCCCCCCTCCCTGCAACAATTTCCAGCCTCATTGTTCATGCTGCATTTCCATGTCCCCACGCGTGTTCACAGAAGCAACAACATTCACGATGCTGACGTGGACCTTCAACAAGGAAGGTGTGCCATTTTCTTCCACCTGTTTCATCAACGCCATCAGTGCATCGTTCGAACGACCAGATAACCGCCTGCTGGTTCTCCCCCTAAAACTGCTCGCATTCTGGCTGAACGGGGTGAGTGATTGGGCTTTTCGCTATGTCTGTAATTTCTAGTGTTCTCAGGACTTATTCATATGGTTTTCTGAATTGCAGGTGGAACACCGGATTCTGCACAACGGCGGCAACTTGTCGCACAGCTGGGTAGACAACCAGCGAGATGTCAACACCAGCTACAACAATATTTGGAACTTGGTGGAGCACCAGCCACCAGTCAGAGCCGCATCAGTACAGCATGGGCCCTGGTGGAGGCCTCACGTGAACGCATGGTCTTTCGCTCGCAGTGAACGTGTTTTCTTACATGCGGAGGGCCTTGAGGATCTGGTAGATTAATAATTGCTTGCTGCTGGTTTAACTATCACTATTAGTGCTATTATTAAGTTATACGATTTTAAAGCTTATAATATTAAACCAGTACATTTTCTAAATTAAAAATCGAATACCCCTCTTTATACCAGAAAATATTCAAAATATAAAATCCAGTATATAGCCGTAACGATTTCTGCAACAAAAAATATTAAAGTAGTGTATTTATCATATGTAAAGTGCGCTCACTATAACATCCTCGTGACTAACACAAATATTTTTACCTTGAAGTGTGATTTCATTGCAGCTTGTGATTGATCAAAATCGCACTGCGGAACACTGAATAATATCTCTCCAATCAGAATCAGCAACCAAACCGTTTCAAACGGTTTGATATGCGAACACCAATGGTATTGTTTTTCTCATACCAGAATTCTCTGCTCACACAAGTGCGGTCAGGGCAACTGTCCCCTAGGCGCACGAGCCACCTGAATGAGTCTCATGAGTAAAAGAACCCAAATGCAGCACACATAGAACCCCCCCTCAAGATACCCGATCAAAACGCCGAGTCAAGACACCCCATCAAGACATCCCATCCCACACCCCACCCCCCCCCCCCCCCCCCCTTCAATCACAACAGCGTATCGACCATGTACGGGGCCTCTACCCAGAGAGCCCCGCCTTCCACATCGACATCGTCCCTCTCCCGGTCCACCAAATCTACGTTAATCCCCCCCATGGAAGACGCCGCTCGAAGCAGGATGACACGGGCTTGCGCACGTTGTAACGCCACCCTGATGAGCGCCTTCAGTGACCCTAAAAGATAAGCCGAAAACACAGAGTCGTCCTCTCGACAAGCCCCCCGCGACACAGCTAGCCCCACATGCGCATCCCCCTGCTGACGAAGCCACCGCTGAAAACGACCGCCGAGACACCCCCACGTCTCAACTATCAAAGGGGTGAACTGCACGCCCCGGTTGCGTGCAAGCAGAGGCGCGTAATCACTCGTTTTGCGACGCTCCCACTCCCTTGCCGCCACACCTATTTGATGCCCGCACTGTCCCAGCAGTGATGGAGACAGCGATAGCGGGTCCGCGACGCTGATCTCTAGGGCGTGAGCCTCTCCAGCCATTGGTCGTCGCACCGCCACATCAACCCGCTTCCCCTGCAGCACCACACTATCCTCCATTGTCACCACCCCCCCCGACGCCTTAGAGATCTTCGCCACCGCAAACTTCACCTCATCATGCACCCGAGATGGACCATGCTGGTGCTTGCATCTCAGGGCATGGTGTCAAACTTATATGCTATAGTCTTTCTAGGCTGTAGTGGGGTAGACAGTATGGGGTACAGCTTTCTAGGGTTTCATATTTGTACCCAACTCATTTCCTAGTTCATGATTCATTCCTCATTACTTCACATGGTATAGAGCAGGTTCCCTAGTGGGAACGTTTCCTAGGGCCCACCGAAAATCGATATTTTTTTTTCCTGCCCGGAGCGCGCTTCGCCCCTGCCCGAGTCGCGCCCCGTGTGCCTGCCCTCCCGTCGCGTCCCCTGCCTTTAGCGGCCCGTCGCGCCCTCTTACGGCCCCTCGCGGCCCCTTAGCCGCTCCCTCGCGGCCCCTCTCACGGCCCCTCGCGGCCCCTTCGCGGCTCCCTCGCGGCCCCTCGCGGCCCCTCCCATGGCCCCTCGCGGCCCCGTCGCGGCTCCCTTGCTGCCCCTCGCGGCCCCTCGCGGCCCCTCGCGACCCCTCTCACGGCCCCTCGCGGCCCCTTCGCGGCCCCTCGCGGCCCCTCGCGGCCCCTCGCGGCCCCTCTCACGGCCCCTCGCGGCCCCTTCGCGGCCCCTCGCGGCCCCTCCCACGGCCCCTCGCGGCCCCTCTCACGGCCCCTAGCGGCCCCTCGCGGCCCCTCGCGGCCCCTCTCACGGCCCCTCGCGGCCCCGCGGCCCCTTCTCAGCCGCTGCCGCCCCTCTCACGGCTCCCTCGCGGCCCTTCGCGGCCCCTTGCGGCCCCTTGCGGCCCCTCACGGCCCCTCTCACGGCCCCTCGCGGCCCCGCGGCCCCTTCTCAGCCGCCGCCGCCCCGGCCCCGGCCACAGCAGCCGCCGCCGCCGCCGACAGCAGCTGCCGCCGCCACTGCTGACGGCAGCAGCCGTCGCCGCCGCTGCCGTGTCCGCCGCCGCCGCCCCTGCCCCGGCCACAGCAGCTGCCGCCACCACTGACAGCAGCAGCCGCCGCCGCCGACAGCAGCAGCCGCCACAGCCGCCGACACCAGCAGCCGCCGCCGCCGCTGCCGTGTCAGCCGCCGCCGCCCCTGCCCGCCGCGGCACCCTGGCCCCTGGAGCAGCCGCCGCTGCTGCAGCTGCCCCTGGCCCCTGGAGCAGCCGCCCCTGCAGCAGCCGCCCCTGGCCTCTCGAGCAGCAGTCCCTGCAGCAGCCGCGGAGCCCTCGCCCTGCGGTGGTAGCGGCCTCACCATTGCCGCTGTCGTACTCCTGCCCTTCTTGCCACTGGTGAGCTCTGCTGTTACTGCTGTTACTGCTGCTCTTGCTACTACTTCTCTTTCTACTGCTACTGCTGCTCCTGGCGTGGCCAGATGCAGCTCTAGCGCCGTCCGCGTGAGTCCCTCGCCCCCCATCAGCTTCGTGAGTGGTACGCTAGTTGGGGTTGTAGAGGTGGCCGCACTGCTACTGCTGCCACTGCGGCTACCACTGCTCCTGCTGCCCCAGGCGGTGGCCAGATGCAGCTCCAGCGACGTCCGCGTGAGTCCCTCACGCCCCAGCAGCTTCGTGAGTGGTACGCTACTTGGGGTTGTCGGGGTGGCCGTAGTGAGAGTCGTTCTGGCGTGAGTAGTTCGGGAGCTGCTTGTAGTGGCCAGGTGCAGCTGCAGCATAGTCCGCGCGCGGTCCTTTCGCCCCAGCAGCTTCGTGAGTGGTACGCTCAGCGTGGAGGGTCACGGAGTACTGCTCGCTGTCCGTACGTCATTCGCACTGGTGCTCGGACTGGTCAGCCTTGCGGGACGTTTGGTCACGCAGAGTCCCGCTGCTTCGCCCGTCTGAGCGACGCCTGGCGTACGCAGTTTGGCGACGCCGCTGAGCTCCCCGACTGGGTGGAGCTGCTTAGGCAGAGGGTAGATATCTATGCTCTTGACTATGATGCTATCCTCACTTCCATGTATGCATTGCCTA